GATTGAACAGTTAGAGGCCTGTATTAGACATGAATGGGAGAGCATTCCTATTTCTAAACTTGAGAAACTGGTCTCCTCTGTCCCCAGACGTCTGTTGAGTGTTGTAAGAAGAAGGGGGGATGCCACACAGTGGTAAAAATGGACTTGTCCCAACTTTTTAGGGATTTGTTGACACCATGAAATTTGGAAACAACAGATTTTCCCTTAAAATGATACATTCTCTCAGTTTAAACTTTTGATCTGTGATTTGTGTTCTATTTTGAATAAAATACTAGATGTTGGCACCTCCACATCATTGCATTCAGTTTTTTTTCACAATTTGTTTAGTGTCCCAACTTTTTTGGAATCCGGTTTGTAGATTAATTTGATCCATGGATTGTCACATACTTTACACCAAACAGTTTATTTAAATAAAGCTCTTTTCCTCTTGTCTGTTTATTGTTAGACTACCATCGCTGTCAGAAAGCTCTGACTGCTAAAGGAGTGGACACCACCCCCTGTGAATGGTACGGGAAGGTCTACAAATCCCTCTGCCCCATGGCTTGGGTAAATAATTATTTTCTCAACTAACTTTAAATTGAACTAAAAGAGCAACGATATGACTGTGGGGGTCAAGTTAGTTCAGCAGAGGTCCAAAAACATATGTCCCCCCTTTTATTCCCAGATGTCTCAGTAGTGCAGCAAATCAAAACATGAAATTCAAATGAAACCAGATAATTTCAGCTGAGCAAAAGTTGTATTCAAGTCCAAGATTTCAGTGTCTTTAATTTGGGTTTTTAAGATTTTTCACGTTTGTTTTGACAACTAAATATCAGTTGTCGTCCTAATTTCCTTTCAATATTTATCATTCCTAGAAAATCAATTTATATATAGGCAACACATTTAAAAACAGGTTGTAATCAAAGGTCTGTACAATAATACTGTACAAGACGAACACTGTGGTAAAAACAAGTTAAAAAATAAGAGCACATAAATGAAACGAGCAGTCAACATTAAGTAAAGTCCGTCTTATATTAAAAGGCAGCTTGTTAAAGAGTTTGGGAGTCGTGACTAAAAAGCCCGATCTCTCCCGAGATTTTTCTTGATGACTAAAAGCAACGATGATCTCACGACCCACTTAAAAATATAGGGTTGAAGCAAGTCTGAGATGGAGGCCAGATCATTCGAGCATTTAAGAGTCAACGCGAGGATTTTAAAACCATTTCTGTGGCGCTGATGGGGCAGCTGGGTGTTTTTTGGACACATCACACAGAACTCATCTGGTTCTAGGCAGGTTCAGAGTTTTAGCCTCAGTTGTCTGCAGGAGGCTCAACTCATTCACTGATCTGGATTCAGATACTAAACTCATAATGAAACGTTTATGTTCAAGTTCAAGGTTCTTTATTGTCATTCGCATCACATGTGGTACATGAGGTGGAACTAAATTGTGTACTCAAGGTCCCAGTTACACCCAAAAATAGCACAAGTATATAAAGAAACAGTATACAAGGATCTAAGATAGATGTTAAATTAATAAACTTACAGTAAGTACGCTCACAAATTAGTATTCTCAGTGTCTATTTGTAATAATAGCTTACAGTTAGAAGGAAAATAAAGTGGATTGGTTTCTAATAGTAACCATAAATTCAGGTCATTTTTTTTCATTCAACCTTTTCTACAGGTTATTCTCAGTGAGTCATTTACAAGAGAGACCTGTAAACAAGCTTCATAGTAGTTCAGGTTTTATTGAGGCAGCTAACACAAGGAAAGCTCAGCTATGTTGAACTTGCTTCATAGTACAAAGTACAAAGTTCTTTATGTGCCGTTTGTGCACAGACCAACAATCCAGGCACATTGGAATTCTTGTGCAGAGCTCTCTGTCAGTCAAACGCTGAAACAACACTAAATAAATAAAATGAAAATAAAGTGGTTTATATCCACACTGTGCAGGAAGTAGGTAATATCTAACCTTCCCGTGTCACATGACAAGTGATGTTAGGTAGTGTAGGTTATTATTGCACCTGACTCCGTAATGTTTTGCCACCTCTCTGATCCTCATGATTCACTTAGCTGTGTCCCTGCTGCAGCTCAACACAATCAAATTATTAAATGACCATTTCATCATGTCATAAATGTCAGCAGAACCTTGTTACAGATTTAAACCAGGGAAAATTAAAAAATTAAAATATAAAAGATGCAGAGGAATGGGTTCAGATGATTTAAGAGAGACTAAGAAGCACTTAAATTTTATACCTCACACTAAAGTATCCATTTTCACAAAGTTTTATCTAAACTTTCCTTTTCTTTTCCTAGGTTGAGAAATGGGATGAGCAGCGAGAAGAGGGGACCTTCCCAGGGAAGATCTGAGCCTGCCATTCTCAAAGTTGTTTGAGACACGGATGTAATCAGCTAAATGTTTGTAAAAGTGATTGTCTTGTCACTTTTTCCACCACTAAAGCTCTGTCCCAGGAGCAGACTGACACTGAATGCTCATTCCTTACAAATACAATGGCATCTACTGCGAATTGTGCATTAAAATTCTCAGGATGTATTTATGGAGCTCGGCTGTCTCTTGTGGAATTCCCTCTTTGGGGTGTTTTTATTCCTCCCCTTTGGGAGAAAATGAACATGATTTTGTTTGGGCTGGTCTAAAAATATAAACCTATGGCTCAAAGTTTGAATTAAGTCAGGCTGAGCAGTTTGTGTATTTATTCAATCAAAACTCTCTGGAGGAGAAAAAAAAAACAATCGCACAACTTTTTCCCCCAGAATATTTGTTACATTTTATTTAAATAAACCTACATCAAATATACACATATAAAGAGTAGAAAAATAAATGTAAAAAAAGTCAAACATACAATTGTCACCATTCAGGAGCAGAACTTGTGATTTGAAACTATGAGACATTTTGAACTTAAATACATAAAACTCCATTTCATAAAACAAACTACTCCCACAAGGAAACAGTGTGAAATTATTTATAGCAGTAATTGATTTTAGATAATAAACAGATAAAGTTGAGGACTCCGTGCAACAATACAGTGAATACTTGAGGGAAGCACACCACGGACTTCAGTGTTACAGTGACAGTGAAACAGGATTTATCCATTACTAGATCTAATTTGAGGTATGATATTAGTACTTGCATAATAGAGAGCCTTTTATTTACACTTTTTCTTAAAGGAGAAAAAAGCTTCAGTAGCTCAAAAAAGTTTGCCTCCAAAAGTACCTTAAGCACATTGCAACTTTTGATAAAGGTCACTTGGATTGCAAACAAGCCTTTACTACCCAATGCTAAGCTCGTATAAACAAAATCATTTAGAAAAGCCAAGTAAATGCGATAATATGCATACAAAGCTTTGCATAACTTCAGTTCTTTAAGGTGAAATGTACTAAGTTTTACTTTTTAATACGTGAGTGTCAATGTAGATCCTACAAAAAGGTATACATTGCTCAGAAAGCACTTCCAGGTAAAACCTGCTGCAGAATATAGTCATTGATAACAGATATAAACTGGCTGCATAGCTTTATAATAAGTTGAACATTTGTTATGCTCAGGTTATGATTTGGCTCATAAGTAGAGAAGATAATGAAGTTTATTTTATTTTGAAGGGGATGTTACATACAAGTAGTGGAATATGCAGCACAAGTCACATAGCAGCCACAAGGTACAGTGTTCAGTACTAGGCACAGTTACTGGGCTGGTAGAATGCAACCTCTCAAAATTCTGGCACTGTGGGAGGGATAACTCGTGTTGTACAGTATTTGTTACTTGTATCCATCATGCATCTGTGAGTGTGTTTACATGGCAAAAGACAGAAGGAATCCAAATGTGAAGTGGAACTCACTGTGCAAACAAACAGAACAAGCACTGTCCTCTTCTGTGGTGGCTTCTTTATTTAAAAGGTTTGCCTACCAATGGTGGAGAGAAGTAGTCAGCTGTAGGTCCTTTTGTTCAGTCTCCACTCTGTGTAAATTATTTATCCAAGTCTCCTAGTATCTCCTCTTTCCATGTTTTCCACCATCAGTCATGCATGTTTTAGGCCGAAGAGCTAAATTAAATGAGAACAAATACATTAACAAACAGAAACCAAGAAAGATGTCATTTATTTTCAGTTCAGCAGTTTTCCAGACCCACCTGGATCTGCTGTCTGCTTCTTCTTGTTGTGATGAACAATCTGATTCTCGTTGGTCATCATCACATCTTGATCCTCCACGTGATTACTGCAAAACATCAGAAACAGGAAGAGATTTCACTTCAGCTACATTTACTGTACCTGTGAGAAACTAAGGAGAAAGTGGGGGGGAAGTAAAAGTTTTAAAATCTATTTCATGGCCTTTAATGGACCAAGAATGGAGCAAGAGGCAATAAGAAAAGAAAGGAAGAGAGGGGAGACAGACATTACAAGCCAGGTATTTGGTGAGAAAGGGGTGAGGGATATCTGGCTGCAGTGACGGGATTGACCACCAGGAGGGGCTGACACAAAGTTTTCATGACTCGTACTTACAGTTGGTGGTGTCTGCTGCCACGAGGGCTGAAGTGGACAAAAGTTGTTTAAAACAACTAAGTTATCAAGTAGATGAAGTTTAACTTAACCCAGTTTGTTCATTCATTAAATTGTCTCTATTAAACTGCCAGAGATTCACAAACGGTCCAGAGAATTTGAAGACACTCCACTTTTAAATACAAACCGGATTCCAAAAAAGTTGGGACACTAAACAAATTGTGAATAAAAACTGAATGCAATGATGTGGAGATGGCAAATGTCAATATTTTATTCGTAATATAACATAGATGACAGATCAAAAGTTTAATCTGAGTAAATGTAACATTTTAAAGGAAACATATGTTGATTCAAAATTTCACAGTGTCAACAAATCCCAAAAAAGTTGGGACAAGTAGCAATAAGTGGCTGGAAAAATAAAATTGAGCATATAACAAACAGCTGGAAGACCAATTAACACTAATGAGGTCAATTGACAACATGATTGGGTATAAAAAGAGCTTCTCAGAGTCAGTGTCTCAGAAGCCAAGATGGTAAGAGGATCACCAATTCCACCATTGTTGCGCAGAAAGATAGTGCAGCAATACCAGAATGGTGTTACCCAGCGTAAAATAGCAAAGACTTTTAAGTTATCATCATCAACCGTGCATAACATCATCAAAAGATTCAGAGAATCTGGAACAATCGCTGTGCGTAAGGGTCAAGGCCGTAAAACTCTACTGGATGCTCGTGATCTCTGGGCCCTTAAACATCACTGCACCTCAAACAGGAATGCCACTGTCAAGGAAATAACAGAGTGGGCTCAGGAATACTTCCAGAAAGCATTGTCAGTGAACACAATCCACCATGCCATCCGCCGTTGCCAGCTGAAACTCTACAGTGCAAAGCGGAAGCCATTTCTAAGCAAGCTCCACAAGCTCAGACGTTTGCACTGGGCCAGGGGTCATTTAAAATGGAGTGTGGCAAAATGGAAGACTGTTCTGTGGTCAGATGAGTCACGATTTGAAGTTCTTTATGGAACACTGGGACGCCATGTCATCCGGACCAGAGAGGACAAGGATAGCCCAAGTTGTTATCAACGCTCCGTTCAGAAGCCTGCATCACTGATGGTATGGGGTTGCATGAG